TATATTCGTTACGCGGAGAAACCGCCCGGGGCCGCGCGGCGAGACCACCGGGTCGTATGGGACAGATTTCGTATACGAACGATCAAAGGTGATTGGTCCAAGCGCAAGTCATAGTTGGGGCGAGGGAGTGTAGGCTCAGGGGTGACGATGCGTGTACCCCGCGCATGCACGTGCGTGACCCTGTACGTGCTGTCCGTGCGTGACGTGCGTGATGCGTGTACGCCGGTACGTGCGTGTACGCCACGTCAACGTCGTGGTACGCCGGTGTACATCGTGACCCACACACAAAAATTCAACACACAACACACACGACCACACACACACACACAAGGAAACGCTACGTGCGGCACACACGCACGCGTCCATCACACATGCCGGGCCCACCGGGCGCGACACACGCAACCAGACACAGCCACGCAGAGGAGCGGCCACGTGCGCAATCAGCGCACGGCACGCACGATAACAAACACAACACATGACACGCACGTACATAGAAAACACATGCGCGCCGAAAACAACGACACACGCACACACAATTACGCACGCTGCGCAGCGAGCAGGACGCAGCCACCCCACGAAGCGCACACACACACACAACACAGCGGCCAACGTACACGGAGCCAGACACGACACACACACCGACGCACGCAGCGCCACAACACAAGCAACAAGACACCGGTTGCAGCGACGCACCACAACACAACCAACGGAAAAAGCACACGCAGCAGATACACACATGACCATGGCACACGCCGCACCCCCAAACAGCCGACATCACCCCGACGGCAAGAAAGGCCAAACCGACGTGGCGGGCGACGGGCACGCGTCGCGGGCATGGTGACACACAACACAACTCACGTACGCAGCACAGACACACAGAAGCGCGGGCGCTCATCAGCGGATGCAGCACCCGTCACGTTAGACGCAACAAACGCACACACCACACACAATGACACCAGCATCCACCAGCCACAACGTGCACCACGACACATCCACCACGAGCACGAGCACAACACACGACCACACAGAGCCCGCAAAAAACGCAAGCTCGCGCACAGATAGCATCAATATGATGTTCGTACGAAAGCACCGTCTAGAAAAAAGCTAAAGTCCATTTCGTTAGAAATCAAAATCAGTGGAACTTGGCGCCCCTGGGCGCGCCGGGGAGGGCCGGCCGGCGCCGCCGCGGGGGTGGGGGGAGGTATTTCCTGCTATTTTATATTGTGAAATATCATAATGTCATGAATCTGTATTCTATATCTGTCCAATATGAGGTTGAATCCAAACTATCAGGTGGTTGGTGAGATCGCAGGAGTCATAGACAGGCTGTTGTCGGTACTGTTCATTTATAACGAAAGAGTCACAAGACTAAACTAACTAGTAGAGGAGAGTGTAAAGTGGCCCACTCGTCGGTATACGTAGTCTGCTGGCCTGTGTGTTATTATAACTTATTAAATTATGTGTCACTCTAAACTGGGTGCTGTAATATGAGTGTACACCACCCGTATCACTCACACTGTATTGCTCTCACCGAGTAACTCACATGTATTCACGCTCACCGATGTACACTCACTGTATTCAATCATCTGTTACACTATCGACTGTATTCGTCACTTGTTTATATTTAGCCTCATCTGACATATTCAGAGCGCTGTAGAACGCATGAGGTGCGTTCGTGCGGTGGTCCGTCTTCCGTCCGTCAACAGTTGGGACATTGTAAATTAAAACGGCTCGAATACGAATTCGAATTTTGGGACGGTGGGGGGGTAATATCGAAAAGAGTTGATATCGAAGCTGGTAAAAGCTCAAAGGTCAAGAGGTGTAAAAAGGGAACATTTCATCCTTAATTTAAGGTCATAGGGAGGAAATCAGAATTGCGGCACAATGCTAAACGCTTGACCTAGGCTCGTGATAGGTCCGTGGTATAGCATCATGGTTAGAAAAATGCCATCACTGTGCCAAATTGCAGTCACCGGCCAAAGGTCATGGGGCACAGGGCAGATTTTAGACAATTCTGAAGTACATGGTCTACGAGCGATGAAAACTTTATGTTTCAGCATGGACCTAAATTTTTTTTCTTTATTGGAAAGACATAAATGTACTTTCGCATGACATGCAAGAGTAAGTGATCGATAACATTTTTGAACTCAAGAGAGGGTTAAAACATGGATTTGTTGACTGTTAACAAAGATGAACTGCTTATGCTATGTGATGTGAGGCTACAGTTGACGTTCAATTGCAAATAGACAGGGACCCAGGGGTCTAGCCTAGCTGGAAAAGAAACCAATTTCATGCATATCGCAATGATTCGTGTACATACCATCTAAGGAATGTAAATCTGGCGGCAGCCGCTGTGGGTGTGGATCCAAAGTGGGTCATGTTGAAAGCACCCAAAATGAGCTAGAATTACTGGAGAGAAAACCCCATAACCCTATTGAAAATTTATGCTATGGTCCCAGGGTAGGTATCGTGAAGGACTGCAAATAATTCAGTGTGGTGTATCCCACGCCCGCCAAGCCCAAAGAGGTAGATTAGCTGAGAGAACCCATGAAAACTATTGAAAATGTCGGCATGTCCATGTATAGGAATGGACACTGCAGAATTAGTGGATGGTGGCTGCCGCAGAGCTAAAAAGAAAGCGTTACTGCCAAAATGAGCTAGATTACTGGAAAGGACCTTTGGACCCATTAGAAATGTCCGGCATAGCTCAGTATCGTGAATGCCACTGCATAATAATTCAGTGTGGTGTATCGCAGACGCCCCAATTGCTCCCACCCCAAAATTGAGGCTAGATGCTTGAAAGACCTTTGGAAATCTCCCCGACCCCCCCACTGGAAAAATGTTCGCTTAGTCGCAGTATCGGAATGGCCACTGCCAGAATAATATCAGTTGTTGGTGTGCCACAGAGCCCTAACGCCCACCCGGGCTCATATATAGATAGATTCAGGCTGCAGAAGTAATATATCTATTATACTTGCTGATTACTAGGATAGGAAACACTGAATCATGTCAGCCTTGCTTCTCTACTTCTTCTTTTCATGTTGTTACATCTGCAGACTAAGAATCTTTCAACAAATCTCGAACTGACACAACAATTGATATTGATGACAAACCAAAATTAAAATTTCCATCAATAAAGCACTTCTTACTAACACTTTCATTCTCATAATACAGTGTAATATAGTGGCTATATAACGTATACGATGTATAGTCGCACTGCAGCGACCCCACTTGATGGGGACTAATAATCGAGAAGGAAAAACAGAGAAGTGTCTTCAAAATCTCATGCGGACAAGGAAAATCAACCTGAACAGTTTCTTCTCAATGGAAGCCATACAGCAAAATAAATAAAAATAAAAAATTATCACCGGTCATTATAACAAGTATTAACACAAAAGGTATATTCATTTACTATAAATGAAACATCATATGGCATACATTTACGAGACATTCCAAATCAACATTATAGCACGTCCCGATAGCAAATCCAAGTATTAAACATTTTTTATTCCTTCATTTCCAGTTCAGTACTCAAGTATATCAAAATCCTAAATTTATAATAATCAGCTATCAAATTTTAGTTCAAGCCATCAGTCTTATGTCATTTATATATTTGCTTTCTTAATTTACCACTTGCAGACCACCAGAAAATGAAAGTACAATTGGCTAATTAAAGGTTCTCACCATGTAATATAGAGCTGTCTCTTTACTTCTCTATTCTTAATCTCTCTCTCTCTTATCTCTCTCTCATCATCTCTCTCTATCTCTCTTTCTCTCTCTCTCATCTGTCTCTCGCTCTCTATCTCTCTCTCGCTCTGTTGTGTGTGTGGTGCGTGCGTGACGTGCGTGCGTGGGTGCGTGCGTCGCGTGCTGCTTGCGTGCGTGGTTGGGTAGCGTTGTGTGTGTACCGCGGGCGCGTGTGTGTATCCTCTGCTTCCTCTCTATGCATCTCTCTATCTCTGCTCTCTCTCTCTCTTCTCTCTCTCTTCGTCTCCTCTCTTCTTCTCTCCTGCTCGCGTCGTCGCGTGCGTGCGTGCGTGCGTGATTATTGATAAACTTGCACGCGACCATCAGAGGGCAACTGGCTTTTTGCTATTAGAGCCCCCTGCCACGCCGCCCCCTCTCCGCACTTTCCCCGACACCACCACCCTACTACGCTCGAACTCGACGCATATCCATGATAAGCATGCTTTAATATTGCGAAGTCATTAAAGTCTACAACAGCTGTTCATCTTTATTACTGTACCTACGGTATAAGCACCAAGCCTAGCTTCATTGATATTAGACTGTAATTAGTAGTAATAAGGGTTTCTGGTCTAATAGCCGTACCGGTTTATTTTACCGCCTAGCGCGCAATTTGTTACCGGCTATCAATTTGAAGAAACTCGCACAAGGCGGTAGAATCTAACTAACGAAAAATTCGTATGAAGCCATTACCATCAAACCTAGGCTATTGTGGTCACATTCAGAATTTTTTTTCCGGGGTGCGATGCCCGGACCTTCATAGCAGGGACTCGCGCCTTCGCCGCTCGCCTACGTCCGTGCCGAAAAACAGTATTACCTGGTCTATTCATTGTCAACTTACCGCTTTTGTCAAAGTTACAAGATAGAGCAGTTGATAATCTCTCATATTAAACAATTTGCAATTTTAATGAGAAAAGCATGAATTTTCATAGACATAAGTTTATAATTACCATGAGGTTTCTATTTTCAAGAATAGTGGAGGAAGTAAAGATTTGACGGGTCAGAAGGCGGGCGAAGAGGGTAAATCAAATTCCGCTAAGGTCCACGGGTCTTAATAGTTCAACGTTGCTTATTTTGAGAACAGAACAGCGTAGAAAAAACATTTAAGGTGTCGATCCACTAAATTGGGGATGACCATATTATTTGTGATCTTTGAGATCGCCAGAGATCTCCAAGACATGCATTTCGGCCTAAGGTAAGTTAAAATTGACCAAAAAATAAGAAATCAGTTGAATTGAAATAACACACAGAGTGTCATTCAAATGATTTAAGATTCCCATATATTTGAATGATCATTTCAAGTTGCCAGCACTTGTACCGCTGGCCAGATTGTCCTGTCTTGTGCTGACCAACCACTGGTATGCTCTTGGCTAAGGAGTGCCATAAGATCTGGCAGCCACTCACGAGAGGACAAATTGTGATCAGGTCGGCCGTGGGTCTACACACCGAGATGGCACGATTTAAGTAGCTGGGAGACTGGCTGGAAGACATCGGATCTGACGAACGCCTGGTAGCCAAAGCGACATTGGCGAATTCCGGAAACAGAGAAATTTGTGATACATGCCAGGGCATGTCATGCCAAGACACCATGTACACCAGTCATCAGCTGAAGCCTATTTACAGTCTCAACAGCTTACAATGAAGACTGCACATCCGATAATACTAATGCCATTACGTAGATAGTCATTCTTTAGGAAGTGGTGCCTACACCAGTGTCCACTATTAGACTACTGGCTAAGGCCATGTCATTGTGCTCCTTGCTGCGGGTCATCAGGTCATGTGTGGGAAGTAATGTGCTATCTGTACGTGGAATCCGTGACGCAGGTCAATGGCCCTGTTGTTGCCGCTAGATCGACACGGCATACTGCCAGGGGTTCCCGTACACATCGTCAGGTAACGACGTCTGCTGGAAAAACACCCAGATGTCCTAAGGCAGAATTCAAGTCGGGAATTGTGTGGTGCGCAAAACCCAGCACAAGTTCTGCTATGAGCAGCTTGACCAGCTCCATGAGTAAAACAATGCAATGATGATAGGATTCTGGTGGGCTATAGTCGCTGACAGGCAATCCAGAAGCACCAGAACGCTGGATGTAGCAGGGCCAGGAAATTGCGCAGGCATTACTACAGGAAGTTTTGAGGAACATGCTTATAAAGCAACAGGGTGAGAACTGTTGAACTGGACACACCTCACCATGACCAGCAACCTGAGAGCTGCAGCCAGCATTCCTGAAAGGAGGTTAAGGCACCTTTAGATGAAACAGTGCTGCAAAGGAGATGGGATATCACATTTTAGAACACAGCAAACCTACTAGCCATTGAACAAGGGACATCATGGACACCCCAAGTGGCTAAAATGGTGAGAAGGATTGAGACGGTTTGTGGAGAGATACGACACTACGGCTCGGAGACAGAAAAGGTGTAAGAACAGTGATCCACAGACGACACAGTCTTGCCACTTTGCAGTAGCGACCGGCATAGATTGGAAGTGCAAAACAGAGGCACAGCCTCGCAGCACGGAGAGAGTGACTGCTGCGTCTCTTTCGTAGCTGTAAAATCTCCTTGTGAAACTCGAGAGGAGACATCGACATTGATCTTGCTCGCCATGGAAGACATTGCAGCCCGCAGCTGTGGGCGAGACGTGACGAAAATGCGGGTGGTGTGGCGGGGGTTGAAAGGCGAGGTCACTCGCTGCCTGGAATGCAGATCGGCTCGAAATATATTAGTGTGACGCTGTGTGCAACAAGTTTTGATAGTGAGCTGTGGTTCAAATACACTAAATCTGGGACATCGAAAGGACATTTAAAGAGTATACAGAAGAGGTGTTATGCAACCATACATCTCGGAGTGCACTCGAGATAAGGCAGCCGACATAGACCTTGATTGGGATGTATACCTACTGCAGCCGAAAGCCTACTCAGGAACGAATAGGGAAAAGGGCATCAGAAAACAGAGTGTGCTCCTTCTACTGTGATGCCAAAGACGGAAGGACAAGCTTCGAGAAACAAAACGAATTGTTGCTTTCCTGTCACGAGGGGGGGGCTGGGTCGACATTTCATGCTAGCAATCCACGTAAGGACACGTATGCAACAGTTGGAAGTGTGGGTCCGTGTCTCCTCTGCCGAGACATCGATACCCTCCGCCCACTGTCGCCGGGGCGGGCGAGTGTGGAGAGCACGGGTGACACTTGTCTACTCTGCGCAGAATGCTGTGCAAAAAGGGGTGTAAGAAGGATGACATAGCGCGTACCGAGTTGATACTGATAGTGGTGAACTGGCTGTGGGTTAAGTTCAGCAAGATAGCTCTTGATGAGCTGTGGGTTGCCCTTTGGTGTTGGTCAGTTTTTCGGACTAGTAGCTTTCTACGTAAATGTTGCCAATCCAATAAATTAAACACAGTGTCCTACTCGTCGCCAGTCTGCTTAGGCGTGTACTAGTCGGACTGTGAAACTTGTATCTGCAATTCGCTGGAAGGAAAGAAGAATGACTGGAAGACATTGAAGACTTTTCAGAGGTGAATGAACGCTTAAGTGAACTCCTTATGGCATGCGCGAGTGAGGTCAGTGGAAGGATAATGATTTATTGGGCTAAGAAGCGTTTGTGGTGCTGCTGTATGACCGAAACCATGAGACAACGGAAGTGAATGATGCCAAGAACAGCTCTTCACACAGAAGTGCTAGACTCTATAGACATTCCATCAAGGGACACGCGGGCCACCCAGTGCAACATCCAGCGCTGGTATTGTAGCAGGCAAGCCATTAGAGACCAGGCATTGGTCATGATTGGCAGAGAATTCCAGAACCATCTGACTGTGGGCTGGACAAAGAGAAACTGGTGGACAGCTCTTTGACCACTCTCCTAAAAGCAGCAAAATCGTGCTGAATTGATCCATTGTCGGTACGAGAAAGCGTGCATGGAGCTGCATGTTCCAAAGCGCTATGTGCTGTGCTGTTGTGCTGTGTGCGTGCTTGTGTGTGACTGTGTGTGTGTGTTCTGAGTTCTGTTTTGACCATTACATAAATATTATAAAAATTAGGATATTCGACTTTTGACGTAATTCGAACCTTGGACCTTAACCACTCAATGCATGATCCTTGAGTTCTGAATCTCAAAACGCATACCAAATGAAATGGATGCCATCCCAATGTTAGTTGAATTGGGACAGCCGTTAAACCTTTTTGTCTATACTGTTTGGTTTCAAAATTAAGAGTTTTGCAAACATTAGACCCCGGGTGGACTGGCGGCACTCTTGGATTTTGACTGTCTCTCACGGTCCTCATGAGGTCAAATCTGATTTCCCTCACAATCTTGAAAATAAACATCATGGGATATATGATCTAGGGAGTGGTAGAGAATTTTACATGCTTGTTCTCATATAAGCACAATTGTTAGTGGTCTAATGCTGCGCTAAGAACGTGCTCCTAGATATATGCCTGAGCGCGAATGCGTGATGGAAGGGTGGCTCTTCATTCGTATATGCAGTGAGTTTTAGCATCAGGGAGAGGACCTGACGTCACGGGTGAGCGCGTGTCGGCTCTGCGGACTTGTTTATTATGTACGCGTTTTGCTGTATTTTTCTAGTTCATTAATCGCATTTACTATTTGCTATTCGCCGGGGGGGCTAATTAAGGCAAATATTTCCATGCATGTTATTTTAACAGTACAAATTTCATAACAACAAATAGTTTTTACAACAATAAAAAAATTTTTTTAATAGGGTTAGGGTAACAATGCACCATAAAACAGGAGTTTCAGGCACGCGATTTGTATCACCAATGGGATTTGGGAGGTATGCAGAATGCAGAAGGTTGCTGAAATGATGTGTACGCAACTGCGTATCTGCATATCTGCGCCTAACAAATGTGTCACTACGCACGACTGAAATTTTACGTTCATAACCGTAGCAACACACCTCAGATGAGCCCAGTCGCTCTGCTGCTCTTGTTTTACTTATGTTATGTCTCATCTATATTTTGTCTCATCAGCTGTTAGGCTACTTTCACCTATATTTTGTCTCATTACCTGTGTGTTTACTTTCGCCTATATTTTTTCTCATTACCTGTTTGTCTACTCACACCTGGATTTTGTCTCATCACCTGTTTGTGTATACTCTCACCTATATTTAGCCTTACAACCTGTTTGTCTACTCGCACCTGTGTCTTATCTCAGCACTAGTGTGTATACTCTCACCCATGTTTTACTCTCGCCTGTATGGCATCTCAATATGCGTGTGCGTTCACCTCTATGCGCTCTCCCCTGTGCTCTGTACTTACCGCTGTCGTCTGCTGCAGGGTGATGTACTTGCTTGGTTACATTCCCAACGACAACCGGCTCTACCTGGGAGACAAGGAGTTGAATGTGAGCAGCTTCTCTCTGCTGCTCTCCGTGCTCGAGTACCAGACGGCTGTCATGCGGCGCGACTTTGAGACGGCCGACAAGGTCCTGCCCACCATTCCCAAGGAGCAGCGTACGCGGGTCGCACACTTCCTGGAGAAGCAGGTGGGTTGCCGACAGAGCGCGTCTATCCCTGGATGGCCGGCGCATGTCGTCGTGAACGTGCACCAACGGCTAGATGAGGGAGAACGCTAGTGCCAGGTTGCCGGAGCGAAAAACCACGCGAAAAACGCCTCGATGATCGTATTCATGTCGTACATGACAAAATGATATCCATGGATGTTTTGTTAGCTCATCTGACGTAGTCAGATGCAGCTTGTAGAATCGCATGATCGTCCGTCCGTCCGGCCGTGCGTGCGTCAACAGTTGGGCACAAATCTTAACCGCTTGACGTACGGTCACGATATTCGGGACGTTGGGGGGATCGTTAAAACGAGTTGGGATGTCGAAGCTGGGGGGTCAAAGGTCAAAGGTCAAGAGGTGTAAAAGAAGGGGGAACATTGACTCCTTAACTTAAGGTATAGGGAGGAAATGCAGAATTGCGGCACAAATCTAAACGGCTCGACCTAGGCTCGTGATAGTCGGTGTATAGCATCATGGTAGGACAAAGAACTATCACTGTGCGAAATTGAGTTCAGCAGGTCAAAGGTCAAATGGGCACAGGCAGATTTAGACATTTCTGAGGACATGGTCTGACGAGCGATTGAAAAATACTTTTTGTTTCAGGCGTGACCTAGCATTTTTATGGCTTTGTTGAAAGGACATGATATGTACTTTCCGCGCTGACTGCAACAGTAAGGTCGGATAACCTTTTGACCCTCATGAGGAGGGTTAAACATGGATTTGTTTTCTCACTGCGTTGTGCGAGGTACCTGTGGCGCCTGCTGGCAAAGCTCGCCATTTTACAGTGAATCCACACATAACTCTTACTTGCAACACGCTTACTATAGGAGAAATGACATACTTATAATATAAGATTCTGTGTGTACATTGATGAAAGTAGTTTGGATTACAGTCAACTAGGCACTCAAAATAATACGCCAGGAAGTGAGGCTGCCGGATTTCCAGACTTAATTTTCTCACTCAAAATTTCTGGACGGCCAATATAGACGCAAGGTTGTACGTTCTTTAAGGCTTATTCGGTTGGCACGCTAATCACTGGCCTAGCCTGTACTGAAATTAGTTTAGAGATATTTGCTATCGTATTGCTGTAAATTGTAATCTTGCACGAGCTGCTCTGCCTCTGGTTGTATCAACCATGAAGCTATTTTTAACGAACCAGATGTGCCTCGCAAGGGGTTTAATGTACCTTATTACCTGACACCATAGAACGCACGTTATGTATAGTAATAATATAGTAATTATTCGCTCCTGCTTTTTGCAATCCGTCGTCACACTGACAGCTGCTATTGCTGCAATGCTTTTGCTGACCGATGCAATGATGCCTTTGATAGCGGCCCGCCATCTATCGGAATTTTATTACACTAGTTTGAAGTGTTGTTTTTTTGGGTTAGAAATGAACGTATGTATAGGACGTCTTGCTATGCACAAATGAATTTATCAGCAGAACACCAGACACCAGATGAGCCCTGTCGCTCTGCGGCACTTGTTTAGTTTAACACAATCGCGCGTGTGTGCAAATGTGCAGATGCACAATCTATGCTTGCATGTGCATGCTATGGTGGTTGGCAGGCATATAGGAATATTAAGAGTACGATAACAACAACTGTGTTATCATCTTCCTCTTGGTATTTATATAATCTGCCTGAACTTAACTGCTAGTGGCGTTATTGCAGCGGCTGCTACTATTGTTGCTGTAGGGTTTCAGGTCTCAGGCTCTGGCAGTGTCGTGTGATCCGGAACATCGATTCGAACTCTCACTGCAGCTTGGCGAGCTCAAGATAGCATACACCCTCGCACAGGAGGCCCAGGTATGTAATGATGACCTGACGAGCCATTAGGACATAATGACATAATTGATATGTCATTGATAACCCTAACCCTAACCTGTATTATAACGGTCAAGGCAAATACCAAGTTTTCTTACCAGACAGGTGCCCCTTCTGTGGAGGTTGTTTCATTGTATGACTGCCACTCAATGGAAATGCCAAGTGTCCTTTGTAGACAGAACTCTTGCAGGGCGCGACAAACCCGCTTGCCTCCGTGCCCGGGGCAACCAAAATTCGCCCCCAGGCAAGTAGCTTGAAATTGCACTTGCCGGTTTGGGCAAGCAAGTTTTTTTTTATTGAATGTCTAGAAATAATGATATTTTTCTGTTTCCACCCGTCCCTTGCATTGTTTTGCACAGACATAAGCTGCGTTGCTGCGACGAGATTTGAATGAAAAAAACAATGCGAATGAAACAATCGGTGCATACAGTCATATACACAACATGCACACAGCAACATGTAAACCCGGCCCCCAAGCCAGGCATGGTCGTTACGTGATCAGCTACCTCAAATGCAAACTCCACGACAGATGGCGCTCTTGCTCTGGCTCAATTCACCACTGCCACAAGTAGATTTCCATTACAATTTGTAACGCTTTTTTACTACAAGTTTTACAGCAGCCACGTTACTCGTATCCTATGTAATAAGATTTGTACTAATAAAAGTTGCAAATATATTAAATCCAATCATTATTTTATGAAAAATTTGATAAAATAGTGATACGAAATAGTGCGCGTATTGTGCGCCCATTTACTACTTTCAAATCATTACGCTGTTTACTAAACTAAGTTCACGTGTTTATTTTATATTTATCATGAATTTTTCGGATGCTTGCCAATATACCTAATTCTCGAATATTGTCTTTGATAAATTTTTGCGTATTCAGCTTAAAACATCTAAATTTGTCCACCAACAAACATGCAAAACATAGAAATTTCTTATTTTTTGTTCGGCGGCGACTTCGCGGCCATTGGATTGCCATTCGCTGGATTTTCCCAGAGCTCCGCCCACTTTAAAAATAGTACCAGCCTTGTGGCAGTGGTATCCTGAGTTGTACGAAGGGGGCACTGCATGCAGTTTGCCTCAAATGTTTGCCCCTCTATTGCAGCCTGTGAACGAGGATTATCTTTGCTGAAGTACACAAAAACAGATACACTGTATCAGGTGTAGAAATTAACTTTTGAACAAGGGAGTCCAACAGACTCCCTGCCCTCAACAGGAGGGAGTCTGCAGTCTGAAGTTCAAAACTAAAGCATAACAACAATAACGCATGTGCTTATTTTGAAGATTTATGCGATGCACGCGTGCCACATTTTCTTTGGATATTTGCTGCAAAAATACCGTAATTCCGCGAGGCTGTGCTCTGGAACGAACTAGTTAGTATAGCAGAATTTTCACACGGACTCCTGCATATGTCAAATCAGGGAGTCCGACAGTAAATCAGGGAGTATTTGACTCCGGACTCCCGTTAATTTTGCACTGCGCTGTCAGTCTATTATATCTGCATGCATGCACTGCTATATTCTCTGCGCATACGATCCAGCCCCAAATAGATTTGAACATATTTTATTAATTTATTGTGAGAGTGTGGTGGGTTTTTAGCTCATCTGACATAGTCAGATGCAGCTTGTAGAATCGCTTGATCGTCCGTCCGTCCGTGCGTCCGTCCGGTCGTCCGTCCGTCCGTCAACAGTTGGGCACAAATCTTAACCGCTCGACGTACGGTCACGATATTCGGCACATTGGGGGGGGATCGTCGAAACAGGCGAGTTGTGGCTGTCTTGAGCTGGGGGGAGCGCGAGAGGTCAAAGGTCAGACGGTGTCTGTAGAAGACAGGGGAACAGTTCACCACTTAACTTAAAGGGTTGGGAGGAGGGAATCAGAAATTTGCGGGCACAAATTACACGGCTCGACCGTAGGCTCGATGATGAGTCTGGTGTATAGCAGTCAGATGGTAGGAAAAGCCAGTCACTTGTTGCGCGAAAGTTGGAGGTCAGCAGGTCAAGGTCCAACTGGGAACAGGGCACGATTTTAGACATTTTCCTTGAGGGACATGGGTCTGACGGAGCGGATGAAAAACTTTTTTGTGGTTCAGCGGTGACCCAGCGCATTTTTATGCTTTATTGAAATGGACCATGAAGGTGTCCGCTTCCGTGCATGATTTTGCCATGCGAAGAAGTAAGGTGTCGGGATAACCTTTTGACCGCTCAAGAGGAGGGTTCAAACGCTGCGTTTGTATGACTTGTGTTCGAACTAAAAGGAGGAGGGTGGTGCTTGCCTAATTAGAGCCCCTCCCCCACCCTCCGCCCTTCGCGCCTCCCCTATCACGACCCCTCGTCACCCCCTCCCCACCGCCTTCCCCTCCCTGCCCTCTCCCCCACCCTATCCCCCCACCCCGTTTTATTTTAGCACCCTGCGATTGCTAAAACAGGTTTGACTGTGTATAAATCTGGAAGATTCCATAAAAAAGTCCATGTCACTCCGAAGAATTTCTGATTTCGTAAAATGTTTTTAGACTCGGCAAATAAGTCAATGGTTTTCAGTCTGAACAGAAGTGGAAGCAGCTGGCAGAGTTGGCCACCTCCAAGTGCCAGTTCCAGCTGGCACAGGAGTGTCTCCACCACGCTGAGGACTACGGCGGGCTGCTTCTGCTAGCAACCTCTGCTGGCAACGCGGACATGGTCGAGAAGCTGGGGCAGACCTCGCAGGCTACCGGCAAAAACAACGTTGCCTTCCTGTCTTACTTCCTGCTTGGAGAGTGAGTAGTAAGAACAATGTCGAAAGTGATGTGCGAGAACACTGTAGGAACGTTGTGGGAATGTGGTAGTTTTGTTGTGTACTTAGTAAGCAATAAGAACACTGGTGTGCGATAAAAGGAACACACAGAGTCCATAAATGGTTGTTAGTCATTCTGCGCATTATAGGCAAAACGACGACTGAAGTAATTTTTAAGGTAGGCCTATTTTTAAGAAATACCTTCTGAGTAAAAAATTCAATTTTAATAGAAATTTAAATTAACCTTATTAAAAAATACTAGCCTTCATTGTATGCTATTGTGTTGTGCATTTGAATCACATTACGTTGCACAGTTTTAATTGCAATCTCTGCTTGCAGAAAGGAAAAATGTCTGGAGGTGCTTATCAACACTGATAGACTTCCAGAGGCTGCCTTCTTTGCGAGATCATATCTGCCAAGCCAGGTGTCACGGTATGTAGATGCTCACATAAGCCGCGTTCACACGTAGCAAGAAATTCGGTATTTAGCGTTCATACGAGGCAACATGGGCGGTCCAAGAAATAGGAATCTAAATAGATTCGGTATTTGTTGAAATACGCGGCTTCCCAGATGTCGAAGTATTTGCCGTGCTTGAGAGATTCCGAATCTCTTGGACCGCGTATTTCTCTCGTGTGAATGCTAAATACTGAATTTCTGAAGCCGCGTATTTTATAGAATGTCCGCGCTCGACAGTTCCAGTGTAACGCGAGTGGAACTGTTGAGCGCGGACCAGTCTAAATATTAAATCGGCAGTTGGTGCACATTGCATTGTTTAATTCGCATTGTTCGCTTGATTGTTTGCTTGGACGCATGGTTTTTTTTCAGTGTACTAAAGCAGCTCGCAGCTCGCAAATACGGCATTTTTGGAGCCGCGAATCAGCGTGTGAATGCTCGGTCGCGAATTTGTCTCAGATTCGGTATCTCGCAAATACCGTATTTCATAAATACGGAGTCTCGTGTGAACGCAGCTATACTCTCCTCCTACATGCACGGTGCCCTGCTTTTTACTGCACACCGATAGATGACGTGATTAGTTTAGTTGGATACATGAGTAAAATGTTGCTAGAGCAACTACTGTATTATTGCCTTTAAATATAGTAAAAATGTACAGTTATTCTTGTAAGTTTACGAATGCACCCATGCTGGATGGAAGTGATCACTAACAACCCTGTAATCATTTAGCCATGATAAATCGCACGTGTTAATGTATATCAATATTGGATTCATATCTCTTATTACTGGGCGGGAGTTGATGTGTAGAGAAAGTTAATGCATTGATACTTGATACTGAAACATCCTAGTATGTGCCTGACCGCCTAGATGCGTCGGTATCACTTGCAGGGTGCTGCAACAGTGGAAGGAATCGCTGAGCAAGACTAACAAGAAGTCGGCAGAGTCGTTGGCTGACCCCGCCGAATACGAGAACCTCTTTCTAGGTCTGCGAGAAGCCGTCCTGACGGAGCAGTTCTTGGAGCGGGAGCAGCAGGGCAGTCGGCCGGCGTGTGCCTACCCACTTGTGACCGTACGTGTGCGAATTCATTCCGCCGACTTGTCATGCTGGAAGAACTTGATGTCAATGTTGATGTCCCGATTTTGCCACCATATTGAGTTGACCATTTTCTTATCTCTGTTGTTTACCGGCCAGGTCCCACCTCTCTATGATCTGTCCTCGGCTTGCATTTGGTGTGTGCTTCTTCCATCTTATACACGCACGCTCGCACACATATACGATACAGATAGCTCACAATGTGATCTGTATCATTCACTATACATACACCTTTCACCATATGATACGCATTGCGAACTGCGATATTTTCAAGAGAAACTTCCTAGCAAACTATACTCTCAACCGGGACTGTACCGATCATGTGAACGCTTGTAAATCAGCCTCGTGGAGTGCTAAGTAAACAACTGCTATTTAATTGTGAATTTGCTTTTTTTTAATTTTTAGCTCAGCTGACGAAGTCAGATGCAGCTTGTAGAATCTCATGATTGTCCGTCCGTCCGTGCGTCCGTCAACAGTTGAGCACAAATCTTAACCGCTCGACGTACGGTCTTGATATTTGGGACGTCGGGGGGGATCGCGAAAAGGACTCGGGATGTCGAATTTGGGGGGTCAAGGGTCAAAGGTCAAGATGTGTCAATGGAGGGGGAATATTTCTTCCTTAACTTAAGGTATAGGAGGAAATACGGAATTGCGGCACAAATCTCAACGGCTTGACCTACGCTCTTAATATTCGATGTATAGTCAGGGATGAGATTCTTCCGCGGATCCGCGGAAATCCGCGGATTTGACAGTCCCAGGGGTCGATTTTGTGAAACGTCTAAATTCGTTGAGAAAATTGGGAGGGGGGTAACAATGTAACAATTTAAATTATATACCCTCAACAGCACCTGACTGTAGACTGTAGAGTGTAGACAGTAGGCTGACAGCGAAGTATACAGTGTATCTGTTTTTGCGTACCAGAAAGGAAAATCCTCGTCACAGGAGCTGCAGTTAGAGGGGCAAACTTTGAGGTGCTGATCACGTAACGACCATGCCTGCGCCTGGGGGCTCTTTACATCGTTGCTGTGATGCATGTATCTGTGGCATAGGACATTATGCACTGATTGTTACATTCGCATGTGTGTTTTTTCATTTCAAATTGCGTCGCAGCAAGGCAGCTTATGTTCTGCAGTAAAACACATGCAAGCGGACGAGTGGAAACAGAAAAATATCTATTAGTCTAGACATTTAATAAAAATTTGTCCCTATTTCAGCCCGCTGATTTCTCCATTATATAAGTTTCGTTTGTTCTTTTGACAACTTGAAGAAGGCTGATTCAAGAGTCTTCCATGTATAATGTGTTCAGAATAGCTAGAATGCAGCCAAATTGCACATTCTTTTAAAAAATTACGCGGGTTAGGCATGGCCCCGGACCCCCCTAGCATGGCCGATGCTATTACGTCCTCGCATGCTCGCTCCTCTGTTTGCTAATTAAAATTTCAGCTGAAAATTAAATATCCATCTATCCCATGTATAGTGTGATGGGAAGGGCAAACGGCCATCACCAGACGCGAAATTGGAGGTCCACAGGCAAAGGGCAGTGGAAAGTCATGTACTTAGACATTTTTCTGAGGACATGGTCTAACGCGACCGGAAAGTGCCAAACTTTTTTGTCTGTTAGCCGCTGACCTACCGTTTTTATCACTTTATTTGAAAGGACCATGAATCTACTTTCACAGCTGACGTGCGAGAGGTAAGTGTCTCGCTTGTGATAACTTTTTTGCCCTCATAGAGCGAGGGTTAAACCATGGATTTGTTGACTGTTTTAACAAATGACTGAACTGACTTTTGCTATTAGAGCCCTCTCCACCCGCCACCTACCCCCACCCTCCCCCTAACAAAACACCCACCCTTCCCCCACCACCACCACTACGCCTTCAGCGCTTCGAACAGAGTATTATCTACATTCTAATAGCCAATGCGATCTAGACTACTGGCTCAGAATAAACATTGTATAAGGCTTAAACAAGATCAACAATCCAGTATGGATATCATTTTGTCATGTACGACGAATTTAAATACGATTGCACATCGCAATGAGCGAGGCAGAGTAATATCATCGTGAAAGCTTCTATGGAGGAATTAAGGAAGGGCAAGCCAGGCTACAAGCAGCCAACATGATATTGCTATGTCAAGGGCTGGCCGAGCTCTGCAAGCAATCAAGGCAGCTGACCAGCAGAAACTAGGTTATTTATTCAGAAATGCTCATGCCACTGCTAAACGGAGCAGACCGTTGACTGATTATACCTGGATGATGGATCACACAACTGGACAAGGCCAAAGGCCTAGAAATAGGCGAAACCTACATTAATGACAAAGCTGGCCTTAAGTTTATCGAATGCATTGCTGATTGTACGCGTCACGAAATGGATGAAAAAATAAACGATGCTAGCTTTTTCAGCTTTATCATGGACGGGTCAACAGACATAGCTGGTGATGAGCAGGAAAGCATATTATATGTTAGATATGTCCACAAAGGAAAAGCAACAGAGATGTGAATGTGTTTTAATGTTTCAATATTTTTTTGGTCCAGTAACATATCATTCGGTCTGGTAAAAATCTATTTTTTACTGGACCGAATGTCCAGTAAAGGATTTTGTCTTTTGGCGAGGACTGCATTAAAGTTACACAGCTTTATCTTTATTACTGTACTACCAGTAGGTATAGCAAAGCCTATCATAGATTTTAGATCTGTATTAGTAGTATCCTAGATATATGCTCTGAGCGCGAACGCGGTAGCAGGAGGGCGCACTTGATTCTGTTGCCAGTGAGTTTATCAGAAGAATACCTGGCTACAGTACACGTCAGTTGAGCGCTGTCGCTCTGCGGCACTTGTTAGATAAAACTATGCTAATAAAATAGATGTATTTTATTCAGTATCAATACATGTATCATAAATGGTTGATATTTCTATTTCAATACATCGATATATAAAAAGAATTGTCCCACTCCTAATACTTACATACATACGTATATATCGTTATATTTTACAATATGTTATTTTTATGGGTTTCGTGCAGGCAAACCCAGATAGAAATCCCATCCAGGAGATGTTAGAAGCTCAAGCAAATGGAGAGTTCTCTCCACAGAAGCCTGGAGTCGGTGATGCAGAAGATGATGAAAACACACCTGTAAGTGTTGGTTCACACCACCTTTTCTCAACAGATGGCAGCATGTCATAGCAGTGGGCTAGGTGGAGATTCATGATCTCGGTTATTCTGGGAATAACCTAGTACACATACTTGGCACATGTACCTGAATGTGATATAAAATGGTGGGGATGAAATCGCAATTGACTCTTTTTTATTGTTGAAATTATTAATTATTACCTCCGCCCAACGGAGTTGGAGGAGGTTATGTGATCGCTCTCGTGTGTTCGTGAGTTCGCGCGATCGATATTAGCGCGTCGAGTCAGCGAGCCAGCCAGCCAGCGCAGCGAGCCAGCGAGCGTGTACATGTGAGCGAGCAGCAAGCCAGCAAGCCAGCGTCTACATGTCAGTACGCTGGCGTATATCCTGGGTTATTCGTGTGTTCGTCAGTCCTATGGCGTATGGCGTATGTTGCCGGCAGAGGTATGCACTCTCCGTGAGTGCACTCTGTCTAGTTTGTTAATGTGTTGCTGGTCGCACATAATATTGCCAGTTCCACACTGGCTATATTTTTTCATAATAATTCAGTTGGTGTGATTTTGCTTATGGATAAAATTGCTGAGAAGCTTAAGAATACTGATTTCGTCTGTGTCATTTGGTTATCCCATGGTACTGTTATATCCATTCTCAATGCCACGATATGTGAGCATAGTTGTCGAAAATGACTAGTGTGGTCACTCCTCTGACAATTCTGTGGTCGCATATCGGTTCCGGATTTCCTGGAGAGGTCTGTGAGGGATATCCTTTCGCTCGAGGACCACGTGGACAACCCGAGACAGCCCACGAGGGCACATGAAGCGACTCATTCGATCCTCGCAAGCCCAAAAAAATTTCCGCGGGCTGCGTGCCGCAAGGGAGTTGTGCGCTCGTGACCCGTTTTCCATTACGCTGCACAGCGCAGCGCGCGACTTTACGAGCATCGCCGGCATTGGCCCGGCAACCGCGCGATGCCCCTCTCGGTGCTCTGCAGCGTGGCGCGCATCGGCCGCCGCGGCGATTTCTCATCACGACGCAGCGATTCCCGCGGGGCTAATTGCGCTCTCGAGTTCTCTGCCTCCTCATCTTCCTCATCATCCGCAGAGAAGTCGGCGGCCGCGCAGGTGTCGGCGATAGATCACGGGCCGTTGGCGCCGTGTGTTTGGGTGCGAGGCGCGTCACGCCACTTAGAAGGTGTGTGGTGTGGGGGTGGGTGAGGCCCGTGCAATCGTGGGGATCGCGCCGCGATGCGTTGCTCGTTTGTTTTCGTGTGGAATTTTCTATGTTTATAGATTAATCTGAAGAGACAAGAGGACAAGAGCACAGCTGCTTTGCCTGCCAGAGGAAGTTATTAATCAACATTATAATATGGCTGTTGTTCAGTATTGATAGATTTGGTTGGTATTAGACTTGGAACGTTGGGATGGCCGTGTCTACCATTATCCTCCCTTCAAGCGATTTGAAATGTCAGCACGTGTGGTAGACATGAAAAAATTTGCCTCAGGTTAGATTTTTCTTCTCGAGGGTCCTGCACTGAAGATGCCCCTGACGCCCCCCCTCCCAAGTAAATAAGGTCCTGCGGAACTGTAATCATGGAAAACACTGGAAAAGTAGTTGCTCTCGCGCATTAGTGTGATTGCGCAGACAGTTGTTGCGGAAGTCGTATAAAGGAGGCGTAACAGTGTCGTAAAGTGAAAGCCTCCCTGCAGTGTCTAGACGTTACTGTGCCCCCCCCCCCCGGACCGCCCCGTCCTTGTGCAAACCGAAGGTTTCTATATATATAAAGTTGTTCAGCCGAATTGGTGTGTTCGCGCATAACTAGATATCTCTGCAGCCTAGAGGAAAACTAAATATATTTTCAGAATCAGCACGTCTTGGAGGTGGTTCTTAAAATTTCAAAAAAGTTAAAAAGTTAAAAATTTATAAAAATTCTATTCATCAATAGATGGCGTACAGATTAACATTATACACCACGTACGTGTGAATCCATGGTGTATAACCGTAACGGCCCAGTAGCCGAATGCATAAAGCATCGGACTCCTAAACTATTGATTCTGGGTTCGAATCCCACATCGGGAAATCCTTTGTTTCTTTACGTTTGGACTGTTTAGTATGTACTTATTGTACTTATGCCGTATTCACCATTAATTTCCAAATTTAATTTTTTTACTACATTTAAACGTTTAGAAAAAATCCAGAATAAAATATGGTAGATGATAATGATAGCGCAAACTGACGGGAACACTTCACGGAAGCCTATGTAGGTTACATATCAAATATTATATTTTCTATATAATTTCATTTTATTATTTATAATTTTTGACTTTTTTATTTTAATGACATCTTTTGATTTCTTATTACTTTTTACTGTTGGGATGGGATGGGATGGCATAGCATGCGATGGGATGGGATGGGATGGCATGGCATGGGATGGCATGGGATAGGATGGGATGGGATGGGATGGAATGCGGTGCGATGGGATGGGATGGCATGGCATGGGATGGCACTGAATGTGATGAGATGGGACAGGATGGGATGGGATATGGGATGGAATGCGGTGCGATGGGATGGGATGGCATGGCATGGGATGCGAGGAGATGGCATGCGATGGGATGGGATGGGATATGGGATGGGATGGGATGCGGTGCGATAGGATGGCATGGCATTGAATGGGATGGATGGATGGATGTATGGATGGATGCATGGATGGATAGATAGTTCGATTTTTTGGGGTATTTTCCTTTCAACCAAGCGGTGACCAACTGAGTAACGCCACTGATTTCCCCGGGCAACACTGGGTATCCCGCTAGTGAGTTAATATATGCAGCGGCACGCTCGCCCTACTGGCCATTTTTACAAGACAGGGATAAATCATACAAGAATCACCTGGTAATTCGACTACTCTCAGTTCGTGGGCAACAGTGACTGACTTTACACAGCGTTTGCTGGTAAGCATGTCATGGTAGCATCGTTGAAAAAATTTGGGATTTAAAAGCGCACGAAAAACTATAATAAAACTTAAATAACCCTAATTACTTTAATGACTACGCCCACCGAATGCCAATCACGATGTTTACTCGGTGACGTGGCCCTCCCAAATCCCATTGGTTGATACAAATCACGTGCCTCAAACTCCTCAATGACGTCACAGTGTTGTCATATTCAAGGCGCATCCATAATACACAAACCCAATGATCCTGAATAGCCTTACGCGTAGAGCTCAGACGTCACGGCTGAAATGTCGGTGGATCGAATCCCTGCGCCTACAGTTTTTACACGAGCGGCTGCGGCCTGCATGCCTACAGTCTACACAAACTGCATGCGCATGATTTGAAAGTAGTAAATCGGCGCACTATTTCGTATCACTATTTTATCACATTTTTAGCTCATCTGACATAGTCCGATGCAGCTTGTAGAGTCGCATGAGCGTGCGTCCGTCCGGCCGTGCGTGCGTCAACAGTTGCGCACAAATCTTAACCGCTCGACGTACGGTCATGATATTTGAGACGTTGGGGGGGATCGTCAAAACGAGTTGGGATGTCGAAGCTGGGGGTCAAAATGTCAAAAGGTCAAGAGGTGTAAAAAAGGGGAACATTCCCTTCTTAACTTAAGGTATAGGGAGAAATGCAGAATTGCGGCACAAATCTAAACGGCTCGACCTAGGCCTCGTGATAGTCGGTGTATAGCATCATGGTAGGAAAGCCATCACTGTGTCGAAATTGGAGGCCACAGGTCAAAAATTCAATGGGCACAGGGCAGATTTTAGACATTTTCTGAGGACATGGTCTGACGGAGCGATTGAAAAACTTTTTTGTTTCAGCGGTGACCTACCATTTTTATGGCTTTATTGAAAGGACCATGAAATGTACTTACCGCTGACATGCAAAAAGTAAGTGTCGGATAACCTTTTGACCCTCAAGAGGAGGGTTAAACATGCATTTGTTTACTGTTAGAAAGAATTTGACTGCCGGGTTTGCTAGTAGAATCTATACATGCCTGGATGTATGAGGCTATAGTCCAGGAGCACGAACCTTGATATTTCGTTTGTTCAACCATCACTAACATCTAAGGTTTGACTTGACAGGATGGTCGAATAGACCCCCTAGAACACCCCAGGTAGTATGTAGTCTCAAATTGTGGTATCAGTTTTGTGCTAGAAGCCATTTTATAGACAAAGGTGGGTGACGCGACACTGTTAAAAAATGTGGGGTATAAATAACATAACAACTCATATCTTTGCTAATAATCAACCAATTTTAATGATTTTGGTACCAATGGGTCCGTCTTAGAAATTGCTACCATAAAAAAATGTCGAAATTGCTACCATAAGAGGTCACCTAAGAGGTCACGTGACGGGCATTTTTCCTTAAACTGCAGTAACGATTGCCAAATATTAATAAAATGTTGCTACATGAGTTTGCTTATGTTTATTTTACACTAGGGTGACCATATGAGGAGTCCAGTAAATATAAACTATTCATCTTGAAGGGCTAACCCATGGCAGCAAATAGAATAGTGAATGAAATAGTGACAATTTTACGTCAGTTATATGAAATGTTATAGTTCTCAGCACTAAAGTATTTGACACACTTATTATATGTGCATCACTTCTTGTTTGAGTCTGTTTAATCTGTAATGTGTTTATAATTTAACAATACAATTTCAATATTATATTCATCGTCATATATCATAGTCAACACTAACTGGTTAGAGTATGAACTGTCACTGTCAACTTATGTACAGCCTTTAAATGTAATCATCTTCATCGTCCTCGTAATCCACATTATGACCATCTACTGGGTTTTGTAGCATGGTGTTTGGGTTCTGGCAGCTTTCATCGGCCATGCAAGCACAGGCTTCAGCGCATGCAAGTCCATTTGTCCTACAGGAGCAATCTGCACGACGACAGGCTGACTTCTTACAGCGACATGCCGTAAGCTCTACCAGTCCACGTGGTGCTGGCTCCTTTGTTATCAGCACAGGTTGCAGAGCACCATCTCAAATGC